CCTAGAATGATCTTTCTAAAAATACAAATCGGATCATGGAACTCCTCTGCTTAAAAACTTTTGGCTCTTTGTATTCTGTAGGACAGCATCCAAAAATCTTTAATATGGCATCATTTGGCCTCAACTCACCTCTCCAGCCTCATCTCTTGCTACTCCCTACTCTGTGTTCTATAATAGCTTGAATAAATTGTTCACAGTTCCCTAACAAGCTCGTTACATTTTTTGAGCCTTGAAATCTTTGTAATACCTGCTTCCCCTGCAGGAATGCTTTTTCTTCTCTGCCCAGTGAACTTCCCTCTTCTTCAGGATCTAGTTCAGCTTCACCTCCTCTTTGACATTTTCTTTGTCACCCTCACCCAACAGGGACAGAGATAACCATGTGTGACATGGAGAATCACTGTTGTAAAGGGGAGTCACAGTGTGCTTGAGGTTCACATTGTGAGTTACAAGAGCTCTGCTGAAGTCTGATGAGAGGATTCCCCGTAAGAAGCAGCGGTGGTACTGGGGAGAGGTGAGGGAGTGAGTTGGGACCATACACTGATAACCCATTTGTGTTATACATACGGGCTGAGGCATAGACAAGCAGGGAGGAGGCGAGTAAGCTAAGCTCCAGGTTGTTAGGCTCCTTTGAGGTGGTTCTTCCCCCACTCCCCCCTTTGGTATTCCAATGAGGTTTTAATCCAGTCTTTCTACTTTCAGTATTTAGGGTAACAGCCCATCCATGCCTCTTATATCAGTATCAGTCATCTTGTCTAGGGAGAGCTAGTGTAGGGAGAGAAGCTTTAGGACTTGACTGATCTCTTCTTGGAAGGTCCTTCTGGTCCCTCCCCTGTGTGTTGTAGGTGTATCCTGCCTCCAGCTCCCTCCCTCTCTTTGCCTCTCCCAGGGCAAAGGTTCAGGGCAAATGTTCATAAGTGAGGCGGGGCCACTTCCTGCCCTGCCCTTGCTGTTCTGAGGTTGGTGAACAGCTTGCTGACTCTGCCTGGAAGGCTGTGTTTTGGGCCCTAAGATGAACATCTGACCTTGGCTGTTTGTGGGTCTGAAAGATCACCTCCTCCTCCTCCTTTTTCCTTGTGGCTGAGCCTGAAGGTAAATCTGAGAAGCAGGAGTGTACTTTTTTTTTTGACTTTGCTATGGGAGGAAGGAGTATAGGAATAGGGTGGTGATTCCACAGTCGTCTTTGTCTCATTCTGAACTTTGCCAGGATTAACAGGGAGTCTAATTAGGTGATAAGGGACACCAAGAGTTTCTGCCTTAGGTTAAGTGTTGACTCCTGGGTTATGAGACACTACTTCTAGTGTGCCTCTTGTCCTTGAGGTCTTTGAAAAGAGATGGGGTGGGAGCAAGGAAAGGTACTAGAGGCCATTTCCCCTTGGGTCTTGAGCAGTGTCCTTTGTTGGTCAAGCAGTGGAGCAGAAGTGGGCAGCCCAGGTATATTTGCAAGGTAGGTTTGTTAATCTTTGGAATTGAGTTCTAGAAGCTGGAGGCAGTTTGGACATGTTAAGGCCTTAATTTTGCTGGATGCTTGGCCTTTCTTCTGTTACCCGGGGTGTATGAGTGTGAGGTGGTGAGGGTGGACATGTCAGAGCAGGTTAGATCTTTCTTCTCAGTCAGAGATGAGGGCACCTTGGTCAAACAGGACCAGGAGAGGGAAGTGGGGAAAGAGAAATGTCATTTACAGAGCACCTGCTTGATGTCTGGAGTGCTACATAGGTTATCTTATTTAATTCTTAAAATAGTAACAACACTATTTCATCAGACATTTATAGATGAAGAAACTGAGGCTCCAATGTGTGAAGTGATTTATTTAAGGTCACACAGCTGGAAAATGGTGGACTGAGGTTCAAGTCTTTGTTTGAGAGACTCCGGAGCTCAGGTTTTACCTACTTTGTGTTTCTCTTAATTGACCTTAGGGCCTCTGTTTGTTTTCAGTACTCAAGTGAGATGTGGTTGAGAAAGTGCTCTATAAACAATAATACTCTTGTCTCAGTCAGGGTCTTTGCCGGTAGCAGATGGCACAAGTTGGGTTTGGGAAAAATTTAATAAAGGGATGATATTTACACAGATATGGGCAGGAGTTAAGCAATCCAACAAGGGATGATGCAGCATCCCAGGGCTAATAACAGTGAGAGGGCTTGTAACAGGAGACTTCTTACCAGCATTCTCAGTTGGTGGCTTTGTCTTCTCCAGGCCAGGACTACCTGGTACCGTAAGTATGTGGGCAGATGGGTAAGTACCTTTTCCAGTGCATCCCTGCTGCTGATAGCTACTAGTTTATATGACTGTGTTTGATGGTTTATAGGAAACCATCTGTGAAAGACTGAGCATCCATTCTGTGGCTCTACCACCTTTTCACCCCTTCTCTTCTCCCTGATCCCCCACTTTCTTGGGTGAGTGAGGGAGGGAAGGTTGGGTGGGGATGGTAGTGGTAGATGTTAGCTTCCCTCTTTCACATTTCAGATTTACCTGAAGTGGCACCCGTCCTTTATTATTCTTGTCCTCCTTTCATAAAGCGGTATACCTTATTTTTCTGTCAGTTATCCCCATCTTCTTTACCTATAACCTGTTGCTTTCTTCAGATTTCTTTTCCTCACTTGATAAGTGCCTTTGAGACTCCTTCATCCTAAAACAAAACAAACAAAACCAAACAATAAAAACTTTTTTTTTTTAATTGTTTTTTCTTTTTCTTTTTTAAGATTTTTATTGGGGAATTGGGGGAAGGGGAACAGACAAGTTGCTGTCGTTTTGTTCTTCAGTCTAGTTGTGGAGGAAGTTGCTTCACTGGCCCAAGTTGGCATCATCATTGCGCTCTTCCCGGGTGAGGCTGATCAGTCGCTGGCTTCTGGACGGCCTCTCACAGCGGCTGCTGTCCGTTCTCGCTGGCTGCTGGCCACACACAGTAGCCCATGGCAACCCACTGCCACAGGGGCTGCAGCCTACGCCATCGCCGGTGACTCACGGCAGCCCAGCTCCAGGTTGAGCTGTTGTTCAGCATCTTAGCTGTAGAGAGCAGTGTCACTGGCCCTCATATGTGGGATCCGAACAGGGGCCCTCTGGCATCCCAAGCCAGCTCTTAACCAACGCGCCACTCGGCCGGCCCAATAAAAACTCTTTATCTTTACTCCCCACCACCCCTCTCAGCTTCTTTTAACTATTGCCCTATTTTCATCCTTCCCTTTTATTACTTAATTTCCTAAAATTTCATGTTACTTGTCTTTGGCTCCTAGTCATTCTTTAGCCAATCAATTTCCTAAGTTTATTTAAAACTTGATTGCTAAAACCATTTTCAATGATTATTTTACTTAATCTCTCTGTAGACTATACATTATGGGCAACCTCCAGTTTCTTGAAACTTTTTTCCTGTTGATTTCTAGATGACCACTATTTCTTGGATTTCTCCATCCATTTCTGGCCACCTTTATAGTTCTTTTTAAAGACCCCCTCCTCCTTTGCTTTCCTAAATCCTGGTTTCCCCCAGGATGTCACTCTTAGCTCCTTTCATGATCTGCTGATCTCTTTGGATGATTCCGTCTACTTCCATTGCTTCATCTACCGCTTATAAGCTGGTGACCCCTGGATTCATATCGCTAGTCTTGATTTCACTCTTGACCTCAGTTATAATATTTTTACTTGCTTCCTGGACATTGTGGATATCCTATAGGTGTCTCAAAACTTAACATATCCAAAACTGTACTCATTCTCTTTTCTGAAACACATTCCCTTTGTAATGTGTTCCTAGTCTGTTAATGGCATTATTTTTTACTGGGTCTCCTGTATTTCATAATAGGGTCTTCTCCATTCATTGGCCAGGTCTTACTGCTTCTACTTCATGATTACGTTAAATCTGGAGGCACATTTTATGCATTTGCATCCCAGTCTTGCACTTACTAGCTGCCTAGCTTTGATAATTTATTTAACCTTTCTAGGCTTTGATTTCCTCCTATGTAAAATGAAGCTAATAGTACAGTGGTTCTCAACCTGTCGGTCGCGACCCCTTTGGGGGTCAAACAACCCTTTCACAGGGGTCGCCTAAGACCATCAGAAAACAAAAAGATATTTGCATTATGATTTATAACAGTAGCAAAATTATAGTTATAGAGTAGCAACGAAAATAATTTTATGGTTGGGGGTCTCCACAACATGAGGAACTGTATTAAGGGGTCGCGGCATTAGGAAGGTTGAGAACTGCTGTAACAGTACATCTAGGGTTTCTATGAGGTTTAAATGAGATACTACATGTAGTGCTCAGAATAGAGCCTGGCACATAGTAATGTTAGCTGTTATAATTATTTTTAATTCATCATTTAGCTCCACAAGAATTTTTGAATGCCAGACACTGTGTTGCCAGAGTTTCAAAGAAGAATGAATGATATGGCCACTTTTGTCAAGGAGCTTGCTATTAATGGCAGAAATATTACAGATGTAAATAATTACGGTATCACATGGGACAGCTAAGATAGAGGGCAATCTCAGATTCATCGTTTCTAATCCTGCTCTTACCACCTTAGTTCATGCCTTCCTTTTCTCCCTTTAAAACAGACTATTGAAACAGGTTCTTATAAATTGTCCACTGTCATCTATCTGCCCACCTTATACTGCTATCTGACATGTTTTTTAAAGGCAGATTTGATCTTGTCATTTTCTTGTTTAAAAACCTCCTTTGTCTCCAGGGTGTCAATGGATAAAATCCCAACTCCTGAGCATGATATTCAGTGATACTTACAACCATCAACCATATTTACCCTTCAACTCAACATTGTATCTCTAGTCTATAAGCCACACCAAACTTGCAACTGTTCTTCAAATTTGTCATGCACTTTCATAGTGCCATATTTTTGTACCTACTGTTTTTAATATAAAGAAGGCCTTTTCCTCTGCTCTCTTTGTAGCCAGCATCTCATTGTTAAAGATGTAAGACAGATACAACCTCCTTCCTGAAATCCTCCTACAGCTTCCCAGGCAGAATTAGTTGCTTTCCTTCATACCCCTCTGACACTTTTGTAAATACCTCCGTTTATACTCTATTGGAGTTTTTGTTTATGCTTCACCCAGCTGTTTTGATCTGTCTTGGTATTTCTAGTGCTTATGCAGCACAGTGCCCAGTACGTACTGTTCATTGGTGTGGATGTACATTGAGTTAATCAGTGAGTGAGTCTAGTCTGCTGATTAGGACTGGCCCCGCCCCTTATAAGACTGCTTCCTGTTCTATAGAAGGCTTCCTTAAGCATAGTTGCTACATTCCTTTAGTTGTGAGTTGGTGACGGTGAGAGAGGGTATCTGGGTAGAAGGGTATGGTGGTTACTATAACCCAAGTACAAAGTGTGGGGCTGTTGCCAAGTCTCTGGGTTTCTTTAGCCCTTGTTGAGTATAAAGAGGAAGGACAACTGAACCACACCTTTCCTCTGAAGTTTTTACATTCTTAAGAGACAATACTTCTGAGGGGGTGGTGGGTGTTAGGGAGAAGGAACTGTGAGCCAACAGCTATTTTGGTACTTTTTCCCTTTCTCTAGTGAGGGTGTCATGTCATGTCCCCGGGAGTGAGTGTTGGCTGTATCTGACAGGAGTGGGGTATATGTGTGTAAGTGGGAGAGTCCTTGGTAGAATGAAAATTGTTATGCTCTTTTGGTTGGCTCTGGATTTCCATCTCTTAAGAGTACGTAATCAGGCAGTTAAGGGTCTAGTTCTCTATTTCCTGCTGTGTGGGCTTCTAGGGAGGGATCTTTGATAGGCAGAACAAAATTTCTTCCTTAACAGCCCCAGAGGGCTGGAGTCAGATCAAGACTGGGTTTCTTGATTACTTGTTTGTTTGTTTGCTCGTTCCTTCATTCACTTCACTTAAGCATTCACACATTCAACAAATATTTATTGAGTCTTTAGGCACTGTTCTAGGTACTGGGGATACAACAGTAAATAAAACAGACAAACCGGCCCTCAATGAGCTTACATTCTAGTGGGGAAGATAGATAATTTCAGTAGTGGAAACTGCTAAGAAGAACGTAGGGTTAGGAAGCTAGAAAGTGAAGGTGGGAAGCTGTACTATTTAGATAGAATTGTTGAATAGCGCCTCTCTGAGGAGATGGCGTTTGAAAAGAACAGAGTGATGCGAGCACTGTGAAGACCATAAGAAGAGCATTCCTGGCAGAGGGGATGGGAAGTATTCACGAAGGCCTGGATGAGAAAAGTATGACTGAGGAGGATGGTTGGTTATACGGATTAGACTGTATAGGTCAAGGCAAGGGATTTGGATTATTACTAGTGTGATAGGAAATAATTGGAAGGTATTCAGCAGAAGAGAGATGTAATGTAATTTATGTTTTAAAAATATCACTCTGGTTGCTATGTGGAGAATAGATTCTGACGGAGGGCAAGACTGGAAGCATGGGGACCCGATTGGAAGTTATTGCAATAGTGAGTCATATTTTGAGGGTATAGATGATAACGTTTGCTGATGAACTGGATATTGGAAGTAAGGAAAAGAAGAAATGAGGATGATACCGAGCTTTTTAGCCTGAGCCTGTAAGTGAATGCTGATATTTATTGAGACGGAGAAGGCTGGGGGAGTAATAAGCTTGGTGGTAGAAATGAGTTCTGTTTAGACATGGTAAATGTAAGATGCTGACCACATATGTGCATGCGTATGGAGGTTTCAGTGGAGTGGTGGTTTTGAGTTCTTCCTGCTGGGGAGTGCAGAGAGGCAAACTTCTGTTGACCTCTTCCATTCTCTCTTTTTGAATTAGATTTGTAAGTCTGGACTGGTCAATAACCTCTGGGCTTGCCACTCCAGCCTAGTGTATTTTCTGGCTCCATGGCCAGCAACTGGCTCCTACAGACCGGATGAAGCAGACTGGAAACACGAGGGAAGACAGCCTCCAGCTGGCAAATTCTCAGAGTGTAGTGCTCTGGCCGCTGGCCCTGTCCAGCCTGCCTCATGGAGAGGATGAACTGGCTGAGCAGACTGGCCTCCCGGGGCCCTGGGCACCGTGTACCTCAAGGGGCCAGTCTGCAGACCCCTGTCATGGCTGACCCTGAGACTTGCCTCATGGTCTTCAAGAATCACTGGTCCCAGGTAGGAGACGATATGCGGAAGGGCCTAGTTTACCGGCTCCCCCAGTCCTCCTCACCTTCTGTGTTCCCTCAGCACCCCATTTAGTCACCTCATCATCTTAGATTCCTTCTGTCTTCTGTCCTGTGTCCCTAGGTGGTGCGGATCCTGGAGCGGCAAGGCCCTCGGGCAGCTCTCGGGGGTGCAGATGACCTCAGCGCTGTGCGCAACCATACCTACCAGATGGTGACGCTGCTGGCGGAGGATCGCGCCATCCCTTTGTCCCCCGCTGCCCCCGGGCCCCTTCTGGAGTTTGCTCTGCGTGAGGATCTGCTAAACCGTGTGTTGGCCTGGCAGCTTCAGTGGGATGAGCTTGGGGATGGGGTTGAAGAACGGCGGGCTGAGCAACTGAAACTCTTTGAGATGCTGGTGAGCGAAGCCCGCCAGCCACTGCTGCGGCATGGTCCAGTTCGTGAGGCTCTGCTGACCTTGCTGGGTGCCTGTGGCCGCCCTGTGCCCAGCAGCCCAGCACTGGATGAAGGCCTGGTGCTACTTCTCAGCCAGCTGTGCGTGTGTCTGGCCCGGGAGCCTTCATTGCTTGAGTTCTTCCTGCAGCCACCTCCTGAGCCTGGAGCTGCCCCCCGTCTCCTCCTCTTTTCTCGCCTTGTTCCCTTCGTCCATCGAGAGGGCCCCCTGGGCCAGCAGGCCCGTGATGCCCTACTCCTGCTTATGGCTCTGTCAGCTGGGAGCCCCACTGTGGGTCGTTACATCGCAGATCACTCTTACTTCTGCCCGGTCAGTACCTACTGGGATGGGGGGTAGGGTATGGTGTGTGGGCACGGGACTGGACAGGAGATGTACCAGGGCTCTTGCCCCAGGAAGTAGCCTCTTGGGTTTGAAAGCATGCCTGGAGTTGAGCGGGAGGGGGATGAACATGAGCTATGTAGATAGGGCAGGCACTAAAGCTCTTCATGGGCCAGTGTTCCCAGGTGATGTCCTGGCACACTGGGTAACTACATTCCTGCCCTGGTAGTAGCTCTTCCCCGTACTCCAATTAAAACTCTGGGTTAATAGCACCCCTGTTCCCCCTTTTTATATTGTCTGAGCCTTTGGTCACCTATCCTTGGGGATGGCCCCCAGGTGCTGGCTACAGGATTGAGTGCCCTGTACTCCTCCCTGCCTCGAAAGATTGACGTTCCAGGGGATGACTGGCACTGCCTGCGACGGGAGGACTGGCTGGGAGTGCCAGCCCTTGCACTCTTCATGAGTTCCCTAGAGTTCTGCAATGCAGTCATTCAGGTGGGACTGGGGTTCCCAGGAGGTCTGGCCCTTGGACATTCTGGGGAGATGGGGTGGGAGGCGGTGCATTCCCTGGAGTTCTGCTATTCTGTCATCTTGGGGGTAGGGTACCTGCTTGTATTGTACCATGTACTCCCTTCTAGATAGTGGTCCCCTCATAACCCTCCTCTTTCTCACACCCCTACAGGTGGCCCACCCTCTGGTGCAGAAGCAGCTGGTCGACTATATCCATAATGGGTTCTTAGTACCTGTCATGGGCCCTGCTCTGCACAAGGTGAGAGTCAGGGGAAGCAAGGTAGAATAGGGGATTAGGCTGACGGGCGGTAACTTCAATGCCAAGACCAATGTGGGAGACAGTGGGCTACAGCACAGGAAACTCCTCCCTTTCCCCCTGTCTGCTCCTGGCTCCTCCTTAGAACTCAGGGAAAATGACTCAGTATATGTGCAGGGAAGCTCTGAATATCCAAACTTTCCCTTCCCTTCATCCAGACCTCTGTGGAGGAGATGATTGCCAGTACCGCCTATCTGGAACTTTTCCTACGGAGTATCTCAGAGCCTGCCTTGCTCCGTACCTTCCTGCGATTCCTGCTGTTACACCGGCATGACACCCACACCATCCTTGACACCCTCGTTGCCCGCATTGGCAGCAACTCCCGGGTATGGCCCCTACCTCTGTCCTGGCTTACCTGGGTGAGCCATCTTCTCTCTCTGACCTTTGTTGTGGGAGGGTGTTACTGCCCTTCTTTGGCCTTTGTCTCCAGCAATCACTTCAAAGTTAGGTGGCATTTACTTTCTAGTATTTAACTTTTAACCATTTTGGGTACAGATTTTAACCTACTCCCCTGCTTTTATAATATATGACTCTAGAACACTGAGTCGTACGTTTTGTTTTCTGGGTGACTTTGGCTGCTTATTGTGGCTGTGGGTTTTGCAATTGTGCTATACTTGTAATGTAGCATTGACCTGAGGCTCTTTTTAGCTATGTAGTGCTCTGTGGCCTGTTGGGGGTAACTCAAGATCACTTTTTCAATTTGTGCATCTGCTTTCATAGCTGATCCAGCTGCTACTGGTATGCTGACCTTTTCTCCCCTTTGGATTTGCTGCATTTGAACTGTTGTAACTTGGGGCACCCATCCATCCACCTACCTACTTACATTCCTTCTTCTGGAACAGTTGCAGTGAGTGTTCACTGTGTGCCATACTGTTCTCTGGTACTGAGGATATAATGGTAAACAAGGTAGACAAGGTTGCTGACGTCATGGAGCTTCCATTCTAGAGTACACAAGCAAACATATTACTGAAATAATTGAAAATTGCGGATATTGTTATGAAAAAAATCAAATAGGGTGCTTATAAAATAATACGGTGGTAAAACATCTCTGAGGAGGTGACATTGAGCTGAGACTTAAAGGTCATGAGTGAATTAGCCTATTGACAATCCAGTGGAAGAGCAGTCTAGACAGAGGCAGTGACATGCAAAGGACAACAAATGGGACGAGCTTAATGTGTTTGAGGACATGAAAGACCAGTGTGGTTGGAGGTGTAGTGAGCAAGGGGGAGAAGGAAATGAGATGAAAGTAGAGGTAGGTAGGATTCAGATCCTGCATGGCCTTGTAGATCATGGTAAGAAGTTTGGATTTTAACCAATAAAATTTGTATAAAATAGGAGTAAATAGTTTCCAAGAAATAAAGACCTGAAGTCTTTCTGGGGGATTAAAACATTAATTTGGCCATAGACTTTTTGGCATTTATTTTTGCTCTGGAACCATTTTTGTTTCCTTCTTTTACGACAAATAATTTAAGTTCCCTGGGTCCTTGTGTTTGAAACAGAAGTTCTTGGATCACTAAGGGTTCTAGAAAACTTCTAGATAATTGAGGCACCTGGCGGTAGGGTTCTAGGCAGGTGAGTTTCCCGGATAGCAGTGTTTTGTGTACGCTCGTAGGTGATGTCTTTGAATAGCTAAGTTAGGGTATATAGGAGATAATCAAGACTCACTTGGATTAGACCAGTGTTTCTGAACCAAGTATACACTTCAGAGTTTGAAAATGACAGTAACTACAACAACAGACTCTGAGCTCTGCCTTTCATCTCTTGAGTTACAATCTTTGGGCGTAGGCCCATGGCATGTGCATTTTTAAAAAATCTTCTAAAAAGTAATCATGATACATGCCTTGGGTTAGGAATTACTGGTATAAACCAATAGAGAATAAATGTCAAAGCTTTAATTTTACAAAGATAAAAATATTTCTTTATTTCTCATTATGCCAAAGTTATACTATGGTCTTATATCTGTTTGACCTCAGGAAATGTCCTATTCATGTTTCAGGACAGTTGATTTCCTTCTTGGGGTTGATTTTTCTTTGTTGTTGTTTCCTCTGCTGGTCTCTATTCATCTTGCTTGTCTTACTCTTACCCTAATTTCTTTGATTCTCCCTCATTATCTTTAATCTTTATTATTTCTGTCAGTCTTTTAGTCTTGCATTTGGTCCCCTGGTCTCAGGAGCCTTTTATATTCTTGTGGTATTTCTTGGTTCCTGGTTCTTGGAGGAACCAGACCTCTTCTGATTTCAGGATGCCTGTTTGGTGACTTTGTAATTTCTGTAGCTTGTCTTTTGTGGCTTAAAGTGAATCGTGTTGATTAGCCAGTCTCTGTGTGCATGACTATCTGTATTAGTTTCCTATTGCTGTCATAACAAACTACCACAAACATAGTAACTTAAAACATAAATTTATTATCTTATAGTTCTGTAGTTCATATGTGTGACATGATCTCACCAGGCTAACAAAGTGTTGGTGGGGCTGCGTTCCATTCTGGAGGCTCTAGGGGAAGATCCGTTTCCTTTCTCATTCATATTGTTGGTGGAATTTATTTCATTGCAGTTATAGGACAGAGATTCCCGTTTTCTTGCTGGCTGTCAGCTGAGGACCATTCCCAGCTTCTAGAGGCCAGCCGCATCCTTGGCTTGTGCCCCGTTCTTCCATCTTCAAAGCCGTCAGTGGTGGATTGAGTACCTCTCATGCTTCACACCTCTCTTTTTTGTTGACACAGCTGGAAAAGATTCTCTGCTTTTAAGGACTTGTGTGATTTGATTGGGCCCGCTTTGATACTTGATAATCCAGGATTATCTTCCCATGTCAAATTCTGTAACCTTAATCATATCTGCAGAGTCCTTTCTGCTATGTAAGGTAGAATATTTACAGGTTCTGGAGATTGGGACCTGGACATCTTGGCAGGGCAGCGATGGGTAGTGGGCGTTTTTCTCCTTATCACACAACCTTTTACTGAGTCTGAATGTTTTCATTGCCAGTTAAAATGGTCATTTTGGGTAAACCTAAACAAATACGCTGTCCAAAATGTGAACTGCTATCTCATCTGTTTCCTGCTGTGTCTGGCTTTTAATTCTCCCACAGTCATTCAGTAAATGATGAGCACCTATACTGTGCAGGGAGTGCCCTAGATTAAGCCCAATAATTGTCCTCAGGGAGCTCAAGGTATCTGACATACTTGCAAGTATAGAGAAAGGGCTGTGGGGATTACGAAGAATGAAGGAGCGCTTACGGGTGCCGGTTCTCTTTGCCTAGTTAGAGAGAGACACCACCCTTCTTCCTTTTCTAAAATAAGGTTTCCTCTGTTCTGGACCCACCTATTTTTTCCTTTTTCTGTCAGCTGCCCTTGAGCTTTTCTTATCCTTCCTTCTGAGACACACACTGGTGTTGGAAAGCTGACTCAGACTCTTGTTCACAGCCCCGCCCGCTTCCCCGCTGGGATTCTTCCAGGTTCCCTCAGTTTTCTTGTTGGTTGGCATTCAGTTACTGTGCTGCTACAGTCTCTGCTGGCAGGCATTCACCTAGTTATCATGTTGCTGTTGTCTCCTGTTAGTCCATTCATTCGGTCCCAGTATTTCTTAGGGTCTCTTTTCACGGGCATTCATTCCATTTAAGTGCCGCTGGAATCTCTGCTGACTGGTGTATATAGCCAGAGTCTGCTGACGTGTATGGTCTATAGGAATACATGGTTCATTCCTGTCTGTGAGTAGTGAAATCTTGCTCACAAAGATCATGTGATCATTTATTTAATACTTGAACGACCGTTCTGTGCCAGGCCCTGTGCACATTGTTCCTCTAGGAGCGGTTGGTTGGGCCTGGGGCTGGGGGGGCTTCCCATTTGGTAAACATCTTGGAGGGTAGAGAGCTCTTATGGTGACTCCCTCCTCCCCCACCCCCAGCTCTGCATGGTCTCTCTGAGTCTCTTCAGGACCCTACTGAACCTCAGCTGTGAGGATGTCCTGCTGCAGCTGGTTCTCAGGTACCTGTGGGGGCAGGGCTGAGGGATGGCTGATCCCGGACCCTCAGGCCCGTCAGGGCCTTGTGCATTGCTGGGGCGATGGGTTGAACTGGGGTTGCTCATGTGTTTCCTCTTGGAGCCTGGGTTAGCCATATAGTTCCGTTGGCCTGATGCTCTCCCAAGCCCTGTCCTTCCTTCCTGATCTGTCCTGTGTCCCTTTTCTGTTATCTTTCCCAGGTATCTTGTTCCGTGTAACCATGTGATGCTGAGCCAGAAGCCAGCTGTGCGCGATGTGGACCTATACGGACGAGCAGCCGACAAGTTTCTCTCCCTAATCCCACGCTGTTGTCGGCACCGTGCCCCCAGCCCACCCCGTCCAGAGCATGCCTCGTGGGCACGAGGTGGGCCTAGCAGAGAGGCAGGGAGAAGGGAGGACACTACGGGTATGGCCTGGATTCTGGGGGAACCTAACAAGAAGGGGTTGAGGGAGGGAGGTGGCCATGAGAGAATTCCATCTTTGGTGAAGTCAGTGAGGGGTCTTGTAGGGTGGATCTGTAATGCCACCAAAGAAACTTAGCTTCTGAGCAAAGCTGTTCCTTTCCAGTCCTGTACTCTTCCTGTTTCCATTGTTTCTTTGGTCTTGGTGGTGAAACAGGGTGGTGGATGAGGAAAAGCTCCCTTTAAAGGGTGGAGAGTCAGCTGTCAGAGTGGGTCCTGTGCTTCTGCTGCCTCTGTGCTTTCTCTCAGTCTCACTAGATGTCTTATTGTCTTATCCCTCCTCCTGGACTTCGTCTCTTTGATTCATCTTATGGGTTTTTGCCCTCTGCAGGCCCTGGAAGCCCAAGTGTTGACTCCTCTTCTGTGGTGACAGTACCCCGGCCCTCTACGCCTTCTCGCCTGGCCCTCTTCCTGCGACAGCAGAGCTTGGGTGGCTCTGAGTCCCCAGCCCCAGCCCCTCGCTCACCAGGGCTTGCTGCATCCCCAGCCTCTAGCCCTGGCCGACGGCCCAGCCCTGCTGAGGAGCCTGGTGAGCTGGAAGACAATTACCTGGAGTATCTGCGTGAGGCGCGCCGTGGTGTGGACCGCTGTGTCCGAGCCTGCCGTACCTGGTCTGCCCCCTATGATGGCGAGCGGCCCCCTCCTGAACCCAGTCCTATTGGCTCCCGGACTAAGAAACGCAGCCTACTGCCAGAGGAGGACAGGGACAATGTGGGGGAAGTGGAAGAGGAAGAGCTGGGGAGTGGGGGACTGGCTGGGGGGGCAGGGGAGGGCCCCAGCCATCTGCCTCCTCCCCAGCTCAATGGGATGCCAGGACCATGGCCTGAGGGGGCCAAGAAAGTTCGTCGGGTGCCACAGGAGGGAGCTGGGGAACTGCTAGAGGGCACCTCCGAGGGCATGGCAGGACTAGAGGGCTTTGGGCAGGAGCTCCGGGAACTGGAGGTGGCATTGAGCAATGGGGGAGCTGGCTCAGAGCCCCCCCTAGAGCCTCCACTACCTCTTGAGGAGGAGGAAGCCTACGAGAGCTTCACCTGTCCCCCTGAGCCCTCTGGCTCCTTCCTCAGCAGCCCTTTGCGGACTCTCAACCAGCTGCCAAGCCAGCCCTTCACTGGTAAGCTACTTACCCTAGGCCTCCTCCTTTGTGTGCTCTTTGCATGTCTCCAACGTGTTTGTGCTGGTTTCGGAGACTTGTTGGCCATGTCATTTCTGTGTACTTGCCCAGCTCCTTATCCATTTTGCTTGGGTTCCTTCCAGATACATATCATGTCATACTTGTGTCTCTTGTGTTTGTGTGTACGTCTTCCATGCTTGTGCTGGTTTGATTATTGACTTATGTCTGAGCTTTGTATGTCTGTCCTATGTGCATGTTCCTCCTCTTCCCAAGTCTGGCCATTTCCTGGGATTTGTGATGAGGATATTCTATGCTTGGTGTTTCCTGGTGAGTCACAGCAATTTACCTGAACCATGTGGAAGATATACTTGCTATCCTGTGTGTGAGGCATCTGTAAACCATGCTGTTCCCACCAGTATATCTATCTGGGTGTTAGGTCTCCTATCAGCTCTTCTGTGGCTCAGGATTAGCTCTTCTGGTGTTCTTTCCCTACTCATTCCTGGCCTCGTTTCTTTCAGCCCCTTCAAAGAAAGAGTCAATTTCAAGTTTCTCCTGTTCCCTGTCCTTGTACCTTGTTGGGTGCCATGAATGTCCAGCAAGACTTCCTTAAGGATTTATGGTTCGTAGTAAGGACTGAAGCAGAAAGAGTGCAGTACCTCTTGGGCAAATGATAAAGTGTGCCCCGAGTGCCTCAGCTGAGTTCTTTCGGTCTTTCCAGGATGCCCTTGGAGCTAGACCTGACCTGAGTGTCTGGGCTAACTCTTCTTTGTATTTGTTTGAGAGCCAGTTCTACCCAGCCCAGCCCTCATCTGGTTCTTATCCTTACTCCACATCTCGAGTTAGGGGGAAAATCAAACAAAAAAACCACCTCTGGGAAGCAGTGTAGTGCTTTGGACTGGATATACCTTGAGTAGTGTTCCATCTATGTCATTAATGCGTGTAAATCATTTACTGTGATGCTGGTACATTGTGAGAACTCGGCACGTGGTAGCTTTTTACTAGGATTATCATCTGTTGGGTGCACGGCTGATACAAGTTGACCAAAGCAACTACCATCTTTTGGGTGTTTGAGGTCAAGTTGTCATGTCTTGAGCAGTACGTGTCCTAACTGGGCCTGTGATGTGCTGCCCTCTTGTTTGCACAGCATCAGGGCTTCTGCTCTGGAGTCATGATGACTCCGTCTTGCAGACTGCAGAAAATGTGTATTTCCATTTATTTATTCAGCCTTGGCTCCTTCCTACTCAGTACCACAGAAGATGGTGTGCAGGTTTTCCCACATTCTTGAAGCAGTAGTTGAATTTTTTCCTTTTATTTCTTTGTAAACTCATCAGAGCTTTTTGAATTTCCTCTTGCAAGAAAGTGCCAGGAAATGAGAGGAGCAGAAGGATAAAGTAATGGGGTGTCTTAGGACCCTCTTAAGCTAGAGTTGTCTTGGAGCTAAGGCTAGTCATATGCATCCGGAGTGGAGGATGTTCTGGGACCTTTCCCAGGATTCACTGCCTTTTGCCTTTCATTGTCCTCTGGTCTCAATTCGCAGTGCAGTTCTTAGGTACACTACCGTTTCCACCCAGATCCCTGATCGACAGACTGAGGGTGCTGGAGTCCTAGTGCTGGGGATCTGGCTCTGTTGAGGCCGGTTCCCCCTAGACCATTCTAATCCCTTCTGTTATTCTCTCCCCCACCAAAGAGTATGCCCTGAATTGGTTTTCTCTGAACTAAGCTCTTTCTTCCTACAGGTTCTTATCCACCTTCTTGATTGCCAGCTCCTGAACAGAGCTGATTTCTTCTTTGGTCCTCCAAAGATTTCTCCCCTAACTTTACGTCGGCCCATACAGTCACCTTCTTTGCCTTCGCTATACTTTTTCTTGCTTCCTTTCTGACCCATCTAGAGTTAGCCTCTGTTTTGTGTGCAACCCGATTCTTCTTTTGGTCCTAATCACTTTCTCACTTATTCTTACTTACGTTGTGCCTCTTCGATGAATCTTTTAAAAAAACAACTGAGAAATATGTAGTTTATAGTTATTATTGAATACTTGTAATTTGCTAGATCTTAGGTTAAATGCTCTATGTCAGTCTCTCTTTGATCCTCTTAATAATCTTATGAGGTGGGTATATTTTCTTATTTTACCAAGTAGGAAACTGTGCTTAGAGAGTTTTGATTCATCCAATAGGTAGTGAAGGGTAAAACTGAAATTTGAAACCAGGCCTCTCTGACTCCAGAGCCTACGATCCGGCTCTTCAGCTCAAGTGTGTATAAAGCTGGCCTCTGGACTCTTGTGAGTCCGTGTGGTGCCTGCCATTTTATCTCTTCCAGAATAGGTGGTCATGGGATATTTAAACATACCCAGAGACTGACATACAAATAATTTTCATCCAGTGGAGGGGTGGGTCTCTTGTTTTTTGCGTGCGATGAGCATTGTGTTCAGGCCTTGTATCCTTGTACCCACCCCCCCAGGCCCCTTCATGGCTGTGCTCTTTGCCAAACTCGAGAATATGCTGCAGAACTCCGTCTATGTCAACTTCCTGCTGACGGGGCTGGTGGCCCAGCTGGCCTGTCACCCCCAGCCCCTGCTCCGCTCTTTCCTGCTCAACACCAACATGGTCTTCCAGCCCAGTGTCAAGTCCCTGCTGCAGGTGTGCGATGCATGCATGCATGGGTGCGTCCAGGCTCCATGGTGGGCCAGGCCCGCAGCTGGAGTGGGCCTGGGGGGGCTGGGAACAGGCCCAGTGGGACTACAAAGGACTGTCAGTCTAGAGCCACCCAGAAGTGTCATGAGGTTATGTTTTGCAGGTGCTGGGCTCTGTGAAGAATAAGATTGAGAGCTTTGCAGCCTCCCAGGAGGACTTCCCAGCACTGCTCTCCAAAGCCAAGAAGTACCTCATTGCCCGTGGCAAGTTGGACTGGGCTGAGGGCCCCACAGCAGGACCTGTTCCCCGCCGCTCCGATCCTCTAGGTGAGGCCTACCTCACCACCCCTTGCCCTACCTACCCTAATTAGACAGCTAATTAGCCTTGGTTAATCGAACTCTTACTAAGGGTGAAGCGTTCGGTGCTGGGAACTGGGAAGCTGCAAAAAATTGAGTATTTTGGTGTTCATCCTCAGGCTTCTGGTCAGAGGATAAACATATTTGCGTCCACTAAGAGCCAAATCAATGGTATCAGCAAAAACTGCTCTAGTAGTTGGGGACAGAGAAAGGGACATAGTCTCCTCTAGGTTGAAGTATTATTACAGGTTGGCCAAGGGCATGGCATTTCACATGGGCCTTGAGAGATGGGTAGGACTTGGGTAGGAAAAGGAGTTGGAACGGGGATTTGGAAGGTGGTAAAACAGTTGGTAGTAAGTCTGGAAAGATTTGGCCAGAATAGAAGGTTCTCAGAGTAGAAGTTGGGCTGGGTACAGGTTGTGATCTTTTAGGCAATGAGAAACCATTGGAGGTTCTTAGATCTGGGAGTGGAGAGATAAGTATATTAGTTCATGTGCTAGGTAAATTGGAGCTAGGGGAAAATGTAGTCAGAAAGAGTAGGCAGGAAGATTCTGTAGATGTGACCTGTAAGGCTTGAATTACAATAGTGGACATAGAAAGGAAGAATTTGAAAAAGTAGAAATGGGAGGGACATATTGGCAGAATTTGGTGAGTGGCTGTGGGGTGAAAGGAAGAAGGATGAGTTAAATATGACCATGAAATTTTAAATCCTCATCTTTTATCAACAAATATCTGAGCACTTGCCGTATGTGCTAGGCATTGTCTTTGGTCCAGGGAACTCATGGAGGTACAAGATGAGAGCTCTGTCTTCAGAGAGCTGATGGTCCAGAGAGAGACTAGAGGCATGTCACAATCGAGGAGCAAGGTTCCAAAGTGGTGGAAGTAGTGTGATCCAGAGCACTGGGAAAGGAGTAACTTTGGACAGGAAAAGGTTGTTTTTTTCCCCCTTTGAGGCAAGTGAGGGGAGGTCAAAGGAGGAAGTGGTATGTACCAAAGAAGTTGTGAGGTGTGGAAGGGACGGTTAGTCATCCTTTATTTGGTTAATCAAAGTAGGAGGCAGAATAACATGCTGAGAGCAAGAGAGCAGATATAAGATGGGGGCTTAAAAAGAAAAGTGAATGGCTTGGGAAGAGAGAAAGGTATTGAGCTGTGAAGACCCAGTGAAGTTGCTTAGCATGATTTCCTGATGGTCCAGTACTGTGAGCATTTCTTGCTTCCACAGTCCTGGTTCTGTGTCCTTTGTGGCGAGCCCAGGGATACAAAGGTGAATGAGACAGAGTCCGAGCCCTAAGCTCACAGATTAGTGTATGAGGTAGGTGACATGTAAATAGGTTATTAAAATAATACAATGTGATAAGGACAGTAAAATGGGAAGTCAGTGGAGGGCAAATCAGAGAAGGTTTCCCAGAGAGGTGGGGCTAGTGAAAGTAAGCCAAGGATGAAGACAGGAGGGAGAGCAAAGTTAAGGCAGAGGGGACTGTTAGAAGCATGGCAGGAGACTGGCCGGTTCCGGGAGGAGCAGGTGGGTGTGGCTGCAGAAGCAGGGTGGGTGGAGAGTTTTGAGAAGAGGTTGGAGAGGGAGTGTGAGCCTGGTTGTGAAGGGTTCTGAATGCCAAATTTAGTAGATCTGTCCAGTATCACTCTGTAGCCAATAACAGAGGTAGAGAATGGGGACTGGATCACGATCTAGAGACTAGATCCCTAGAAGCTAGGCTCTAAGTATTGGATGTAGATCCAGAGCCAGGAGTCCGGACAGAGAATTAGAGGAGATAGGGCAATATTCTAAATGGCTCATCTGACATGAAGTTGTCTGCCCACAACCAGTGGGAGGGTGGTTTTGGTGACTAGAGGAGAGGGACTGGTAGGAGGCACAGTGGCACAGGGGAGCAGATCTTGGAGGGATAGTGGAGTATGACAGAAATGATAAGTCACTGAACTGCGACGGCAGGTATAGCCTCTGTGGGTGTTAAAGGAGCAGAGGATGTGGGTCAGGTTTTACAGATAGGCAGCGGGGAGGTGGAGGGGGGCGACTAGTTCAGGGGGGCGAGAGGAAGCATGAAGTAAGGGCATGTTCTGCGCTCGGGAGAGACAGGTTGGTGATGCCAGGCGGTGATGGGAAAGAGCGTTGGGAGAGAACCCCCAGGGTGAAGGCGCGAGGAGGAGGAAGGGATCTCGGCTGGGAGCGAAGTGGCTGAAGTGTTGACTGGCTCGGAAGCCTGAGGGTGGTGGTTTGCCGGGTGGGGAGGCTGGACAGAGAAGGCGGGCAGGCCGCAGTTTGGTGTTAGAATCCCAATTGAGGAGTCCATGCACCTGGGGAACGGGGTGGGGAAAGCTCTCCAGACCCAGGGCGTTTGCCTGACCCCAGCACCTTCATGACACCCCTGTTTTGTTTGCAGTGAAGAGCCGGAGGCCGTCCTTGGGGGAGTTGCTCCTGCGGCATGCACACAGTCCCACCAGGGCCCGGCAGGCAGCGCAGTTGGTTCATCAGCCTGGGAGAGATGGCACGGGACTTGGCCTAGGTGGGGGCTCCCCTGGGGTAGAAACTCCGGTTCTGCCCCCCCGGGGCGGGGCCCCTGAGCGCCAAGGCGAGGCTCTGCGCGTCAAGAATGCTGTCTACTGTGCAGTCATTTTCCCCGAGTTTCTCAAGGAGTTGGCTGCCATCTCCCAGGCCCATGCTGTCACCTCACCTTTCTTGTTGGATTCTTCAGAAGAGGGATGTACCCTTCCCATCTCAGGCTTCGGGCCCCTCAATCCTTAACTTTCTTCCATGGACAATCAGGGCCTTGAGTGGCCTGGGCTGGGGCCAGGGTCCAGGCTCCTTTTTATGTTTGGAGGCAGTGGCAAGAGGACTTTTTAATTTATTTCAGATGAATGTTTTATGGAGAACTTGTTGCAATATGTATAAAAGGGAAATCTCTATTCTGGGCTCATTCTTGTTTCTCACCCTTTTTCTATGGTGTTGGGGTCCCAAGAAGGTTGTACATAGATGGGGAGATGGTCAGGGGTATTTTCTCTCTGGTAGGGACATTTATGCCAAGCTTTCAAGGTGCTACTTACTCGCTTAGAGAGTTAGGGGACATGAAGCCTAGGGAAAAAAGTAGGGACTACCCCTTCTCCAGACCCCAGGGCCACACGGTGGTTTGGGGGAGCAGCAGCTGATGTTTATTGGGGACCAGTATCCCTATGCCAGATCTTGGGGGCCTTGCCCCCTGCACCTCTTGCCTCAGCTTCAGTCGTCGCTGTCGAACTCCGAGGACAGACCCTGCAGCAGGGGCAGGGACATGGAGTGCCGGTCTGGGTCCCCGGGGCCCCCACCCTGGGCTCCTGGTGGGGGGTTGCGGGGGCTGAAGAGCCAGTTCTCTGCCAAGGTTGGGGATAGTCACAGCTTGACTCATGCCCTGGTCTTTCAGCCTCCCTGGCTCCTCCCTCTGGTCCTCTATCCTGTGCCCACCCCCTCACTAAGATCATGCATGCGTCTCTCCCTGCCTCCCTTACTCCATCCCCCTCACCATGGTGTCCCACATGTTCCTGAGCTGTACTCTCCGTGCCCTCTCCCTCCACCTTGTCCCATCCCTCTCAGATTCATTTCCCCCAGTAGTACCTGACAGCATGTGGGGCCCCCTTCGGAAAGGGTTTCGGCCCTTGTAGGACAATCTGGTGAATCTGCCCTCTAGCCCTTCCTGGGGAGGTGGTGTAGGTGGGGCTGGGACAGGTAGGGGTACGTCAGCAGCTTCAGGGACATTGTCAGAGGCCGATATGGGGGCCAGAGGTGGCATGATGCTGAGGTTGGGTCTGACCCAGTGGGCTCCATGGAGCAGTGGGTCTTTGCTGAGGGGCTTCTGTGGTCCCAGCACTCCCTTGGGTTGCAGTGAAAACTTGAGGCATGAGAAGGCAACAGGCAGTGACCGTTGTAACCGGAGCAGCTGGGGCTCACGGCCTGTAGTCAGCATCCCCAGCTGCAGCCAGGCACAGGAGAAGACCTGGTAGATGACATAGATGCTGTGGGTGCTTCGGAGCCAGGGGAGAGTCTTCTGTAGGCCCACTTGCCCTGGTGGCAGCAGCAGGAAGGCCACCTTCTTGCGCAGGCCACCCATGTGTAGGCGGATCCGGCAGGGCTGCCCTTCCAAGAGTCGCGTTTCTTCGTAGGCTATGTCTGCTCTGCCATTGGGTGAGTATTCCTGAGTGCAGTGGGCAAATGCACCCTCGGACCCTGCCTGTTCCAGGAGGTTTGGTAGCGGCCCCACTGGTTGCAGTGCCCGCCGTCCCTGCCGACCCGGCAAAGCCAGGCGGGTGTGGGCTGGGCGGGACTGCTTCACTAGCACACCCAGTAGGTCATAGCAGGCGGCATCTGACAGGAAAGGTACTGCCACTACATTGGGCCCAAAGCGCTCTTCGATAACCTGTAGGTAACCAGTTTATAGGTCAGGGACCGACTGAGTCAGGGTCAGGAGTTACTTGGTAGCCTACTCTAGATTGACACTCCCACTCTCACTGTCCAATTACATCTCCACGATATACTCAGACTGTCATGCTTTCTGCTTATCTCACATTTCTTTCCTGTAGCAAAACCTTGAATGTCTACTGTGCCAAACTGCTAGATAGATAGATACAGGGAATACATAAAAGAATGAGACTTTGTCCTTGTCCTAATATAGCTCAGTCTAATGGAGGAGACCAAAATGTAAACAGTGGTCAGCTAAGTAAAATAATAGCAAGCTGTGCAGGAGATGAAAAGTGACTGAACAGTCTTTGTCTTTCTAGGTGGTAATACTTGAGCTTCGAAGAGACGAGCCAGGCAGAATGGTTAGTCTAGGCAGAAGGAACGCCCAGTGAGAAAACCTGAGCTTGCAAACTAAGAGGGGCCCATTCAGGAACATGTAATTTCATATTGTATAAATGTAGGGTATGAGAAGGGACAGGCACACAGGAACTTGCTTATGAAAGGCCTGTGTGCACCATAAGTGATGGGAAATTTATCCCGAGGGCAAGGGGAAGCCCCTTGAAGGGCTCTGGTTAGGAGGGTCAGGATCAGATAGGCGCTTTAGAAAGCTAATTTTGAACAGGAAGGCAGAAACTAAGGAGAGAGAGAAAAGTCAAGATAATTAAGAATACTGTAATACTCCAGGCAAGACAGGGGGAGGCCCTCAATTGAAATAATGGGGGAAGATCTTCAAGTTATAGAATTGGTAGAACTTGGTCACTTAAGGGGTGTGGGAAAGGAATCTTTAAGGATTATAGGTGATTATTCATAAATGGGTAATGCCATTAACCATGAATGTGTGTAGGTTTGGAATGTCCATTCTTACACTGTGTCTATCATCCCTTAGGAGACACCTGCCCTAGCTGCAAGGGTTCTTCTAGGGATCTGAGGCCTCACCTTTGTAATGCTAATTCCAATATGCTTTTAGGGATTCCAGTTCCTCTTGGTTTTGTCCTACTTGTCTTGGCCTTTCTGAGTTTGGTAACCCTGTTCTGGAAAGTTTAACTTCATGACCAACTGGGAAACACTGTAAGGTCCTCTCTAGTGATTGTACTTAGGTATGATAACAACTCATCCAGGATATTGTTGGCTAGACTCCTGGCTCCGTGTTCTGCTGGGGAGAATACAAAATTCCTCTTTGGGTCCCTTTCATGTTAGAGCCCTATTCTTCAAATGCTCTGTACTCTGCTCCCCTCCCCCAGCTCCCAAATCCCACATGTCTGTGCCCCTTCTGATGATGGCATTGCCCACTTGGCTGGCCTTCTGGTAGAATTCAGTAGTGGTCCCTTAAAGCTAATCTGCTTTTGCTACATAAAGCTGTTTGGGAAGTGCTGCCCTCGAGCATGAGAGTAGGGTAGCTAATTGGTGGAGGTGTCTCCATTTCCTGCAAGCTGAGTTAGCTTGAAGACTACTGTCTTTTGTCGCCTAGCCAAGGAAATAATGTGCTCTTTCTTGTTCTGCATGGAAGAATTTCCCATCAATCCTCCTTGCTTCACTGAGACATGGAACACTTGCTTTTGGGTGGGGGTATCAGGCTGAAGAAAAGGACTCTGAGAAAGGCCAGTTGGGTTTCCAGGGCTGAGAGCAGAGCACTGGTGGGTTGGTCTTTATGTATGGATGTTCTGTCCCATGACAATGAAAGCATAGTCACCAAGCATAATTTCCGAGTCCTACCCCAGCTTCTCCATTGGTGCCTAGGATCCTATATTAATAAGACAGATGGGAGTGTCTCCAGAGGAGGTCCCTCTAACAGGAGTTCTTATGGTCCAAGTGTCTGCTACAAGGTGAACCCCTGGGCTAGCTGGAGACTGTCAAAATACAGACATAAATTTACCGGGGAGGTTTCTTTCTTATCCTCGAGGGCACCAGTGTTACCCTAACATAGGAACAATAAGGCACTCAATTTTATGCGAGGGTGTCTGTGTTCTTGGTAAAAATCACCATTTGAGACTACTTCCTGTTCCCACTGTATTTTTACTTCCAGGTGGAAGCTCTATAAATGCCTGCGAATTTAGATCTCCCAGGGGCAGCCTAGGAAAGTGATGGTGGAGGATTCTCTTTTTGAATGTACCTTGGCTGGTTGAATTCTGAATGGGGAGCTCTTAAGCCAGCTTCTGTTTAACCAAATGCTCTACAAAGTGCACGATAAGCTGTCAGCAGTTCTGGAGAGAGGAAAGCAGGTCACTCAGAGGTGTCCTACTGCTTGAATTTGCCACATACCACTAGTGATTTATCCTGCATGTCTCTATCCCAACTTTCCTGAAAATTTTCTATTTAAATAGGATAGGGTTTTTTTTTCTGGTACTCAGAGATGGTGTAGCTTTCCAATAGTTGAAGGCTGCATTTATTTTCACGCTAATTCTGATTGGTCTAGTTCAGGGCCAACCTTTTCCAGTGCTGGAACCAGTTACCCTAAAACTTGGGAGGACTTTGGCTCTCATGTTTCTGCTCCCCTGGGAAGTTGAACTTTGTGGTGAGCAGCTACTCCATTTTGATTGGGAGCTACATGCCATTAAGGCTGCTTTGAGTATGGTAGGCACAATTTTTAAGATGGTTGTTTTAAACTTGGTGGGCTGCCTTCTATGAGTGCTTTAAATTCACTCTCCTTCAGATCATATAACCAGACCTGATCCCTAAATTCTCACCTCAGAAATTTTTAGCCATCTAGATTTGGTGGGATTTATTGGATACCTACAACTCAGGGTGAGATCTGTCTGCTCCTTGAAATCCACATATTTGTCTCAAAACCCAAATTTCTCATTCTGTGGAAGTTAAGGTGGAGGCAGTATCTGTGAAGAGGTCGAAGGTTAAGTTGTTTCTTTAGAAAGCTTAAAAGGCCTTTCCTGATCAGCCCCTGTACCACTTTGTCCTTGTTTTCACCACTACTCCTTTGAACTTTGCTCTAGAGGACTATTTGCAGCTCACAAATCTGCATTTTTCTTTTTCCTCTCCTGGCTTTTGCATATGCTCTACCTTTAATTGGTGCTTTGTTCACTTACCCACCCGCTGGTCATGAACTCTTTCAGGTGTTTATTAAGCGATGTTTCTGTGTGTGAATAACTCCTACTTGCCTAGCTAGGATGTCCCTCTCTTCAGGAAGCCTTCCTGACCTCCCAAGTCCACGCCTGACTTAACACGTTTCCTCTCTGCCCTCATAGCTCCCTCAAGGAAACTTTCAACTGCTTTTGCAATTGCGATTCAATTGGAAAGTTGGTGCAAAGCAGTCAGCGCAGTGTCTGGACCATAAGCAAGCCCTGAGTAAATGTTAGTTACTGTTGCCTTCAGGCTTCCTGCTCCTTCCTACTTATAAGCTTCTCAGACCCAGCCAGGTGACACTTTGTTACTTCTTGTTTAGCCCTCTTGCTTTACCTACCTTATCCTTGATGAGGGTCCAGGTGGCATCAACTTCATCCAGTGTTAGCAGGTGGGGGGCACAAACCAACATGGTGAGGTATGGGAGGGGTTAGGCAGGGCAGTGGCTGCTGCAGGAACCCCAAGCCACCTAGGAAAGGGAGGCCCAGGCCTTAGGCTCTGACCTACTACAGCATGAGGTCATAGAGGCCCTGGTAGGTGATGGGGCCTCGGGTGGGGAGAGGGCAGTCACTTTCCTAGCCTCACTAGTCTCAGCCTGAGCCCAAACTCTTGAGTCACCTATCCATTCTTGTGTTTTAGGGGAGGAAAATGCATGCAGGTATCTGTCAGGGTGTCTGTATATGTCCGTGTGTGTGTGTGTGTGTGTGTGTGTGTGTGTGTGTGTGTGTGTGTGTGTGTGTGTGTGTGTGTAGTTCTCGGTCTGAGTTCTTTAAGGAAACAGGACCAGGTCTCTCCTCCTGTCTACAGACCCCTTGAAGCAATTTACTATATTACCTGTCACCTGCAGATGACTTTGTGAGGTTGCATCGGGGTCCTGAAGGACATGGGAGAAGTATAGATCAGGAATTAAACTGAGAATCAAGCACTGGCCTTACTTTTGAATTACCTGGGAACTTTAAAAATTACTGATGCCTGGATCCTACCCCCAGAAATTCTCATTCTAATTGATCTGGAATGTGCCTGGGCATCAGGATTTCTAAAAGCTCCTCAGGCAATTTTAATGTGTAGCCTCGGTTGACACCCATTATTAACAAGTGCGTTACAATTGCAATGAAAACCAGGTGTGTGTGTGTAGGAGGGTGCCATGCTGAACGGTGACAATGTGAAGAATAAGAATCTAATTGGGATACTGTTGCCTTGGTAACTAGAGAGAACTTTCAGGAAGCCAGAATTACCCAGGTAAATTTGTGGAAATTTTTCTTCATGCTCTACTCCCTGTCCTAGGCTGATCTGTGTCTAGTAGGTACTTTCCTACTACAGCCCTAACCTATGTGTGATTTCCCCTTGTGTCTCTGTTCAGTGATCTTGGAAAAGAAGAGTGGTTTTTCCGCAGAGAAGAACCACACTAGAGAGCCTTCTAGTACTCCTCTCCCACTCTGCCCCTCATCTGTCCAAACAGTTCTCTCTCAAGTCCTTCTGTAAAATCTCCTGTGTGCCCAGGAAGACCTGTCATGTGTGGGGAGCGTCCTCCCCTATCCCAGCTCAGTGTGTAGAGCTAGCCCACAAAGTTGGCCCTTGTCGGAGCTGGCCGAGGTGGTGTGAGTTTGGGGTACAGGGAAGCTCCTACAGTAGTAGGAGAGGGTGTTGCCAAGAAAAGTTTCCTAAAAGAGATGTAACTGGCCTTAGGGCAGGCAGGTCTCCCTAGACAGAGCTAAGGGTGTGGGTGCCAGGACTTTGAGCAAAGGTTTGACAGTGGGTGTGGGCCCACACTCCAGGACAGGAATTAATACCAAATATTTGTTGAATTCTTATGTGTTAGGGGCTGTGCCAAACATTTTGAGTGCATTATCTTGGTTAATCCTTTTTAGTAACCTCTTGAAGTAGGTACTATTGGGTTGTCGGAAAAGTCATGACACATGTTTGCAATAGATGGCACTAGTTCATTTTTGGAAGTACTAGAGTCATTTGCATCTAGGTTATTGCTATGTCATTTGACAGCTGACAGTTCTAGCTTCATTCTAAAAAAAAAATTGAGCGATTTGGCTGAGTTTTGGAGATTTTACAACAAGTTGAAGATGGAAGACCAAACTGTGCATTTTTGCCATATTTTAGTGTTTTACTTCCATAAAGGGAAGAATGCGTGTCAAACTTGTGAAAAGTTGCATAAAGTTTACGGTGACAATGCTCTACAAGAATGTCAGTGCTAATGATGGTTCACAAAATTCTGTGCTGGTGATTTTGATCTCAATGACGCTCCTTGGTCAGGGAGGCCCACCGAGGTTGATGACAACAAAATAAAGGCATTGACTGAGTCAAACCCACGTTACACGACAACACGAGGTATTGCAGAAACATTGAACATCCATCATTCAAGCATTCACGACCACCTGAAGAAGCTGGGATACATAAGCAAGCTCGATATTTGGGTTCCGCATGAACTCAAAGAAGTTCATTTAATGACGCGTATAAACATCTGCAATATGCTCATTAAACATGAGGAAAGCGATCCTTTTTTGAAGCAACTGATAACTGGTGATTAGAAGTAGATTGTTTACAACAATGTGGTGCGCAAATGGTCTTGGTCCTGAAGTGATGATCTGCCTCAAATGACATTGATGGCAGACATTCATCATGGGAAGGTTATACTCTCAGTGTGGTGGGATTTTAAAGGTGTCGTGTTTTTCAAGCTCCTACCAAGGAACCAAACAATCAATTTTGAATGTGTACTGTTGGCAATTGGACAGTTTGAACGAATGCATCATCCAGAAACGTCCAGAGCTTGTTTATTGTAAAGGAGTTGTTTTCCATCGCGACAACGCGAGACCACACACAAGTTTGATCACCCCTCAAAAATTATTGGAGCTTGGATGGGATGTGTTGCCACACCCACCATACTCGCCTGACCTTGTGCCGTCAGACTTCCACTTGTTTCACTCTCTTCAAAACTCCTTAAGGGTACAATGTTCCATTCAGAGGAGGCTGTAAATCAGCACCTTGTTCAGTTTTTCGCAAATAAAGACTGGTCCTTCTATGAATGAGGAATTCTGAAGCTCACTGAAAGATGGCAAAAGGTTAGCAAACAAAACAGGCAATATATCATTGATTGATCTTTGTTCTTTATATAAATAAATGACCTTTGAAAATCATAGACAAAATACATCATGACTTTTCCAACAACCCAATATTATTTCCCCATTTTACAAGTGAATGAACAGGCTCAGAGAGGTTAAGTAAGTGCAAGTCTGCCGGATTCCAGATTTTGTTGTTAAACAGTAAGTAGTTCCTTTTGGTGAAGGGAGAAACAGCACATTCCTTCTACCCACCTGAGTGTGTGGTGGGAGGGGTGCCTGTTAGATGGAAGTGCAAAGTGGTTGCTTGAAGAGGAAATGGGGAGGGTAAGAGCTGCAATAGAACAAATTGAAACCCCGTTTCCTGTTGAGACAAGGGAGGCAAGTCCTTCCTCTCAACGCCCCATTAACACATTTAAAAATTACAATTGACACGGAGAGGTCACCTGGTACAGTATGGTTGGTGCTTCTGTTCCTTGCAGAAAGGAATTCTGAGTGAGGTAGATAAAGGTAGAGCGAGAGAGAGTGATAGATAGATACACAAGGACAAGAGACAGACATGGGGCAAAACTGACAGTGGAAGGGGACAGAGATGCAGAGGTACAGAGACCGTGAGAGTTACTACTGCTAAATGGGCAGAGAATGAGGCGCATCCATATCTGAGGGTGTGGATGAGGTAGGTGCAGGGGTGATGGGCTGTTGGGGAAACCAGATGAGGGTCTCTTTCGGATTTCTGTTCGTAGAGGGGGCTGAAAGGGAAGATTGGATGCACTCCGCACCGAGAAGCCCATACCATTGTCTTCTCTCCTTTGCTGTCTGATTACCATGATTCTCTAGGCCCCCAGAACTCCACACTGCCCTACCCTGACATGAAGAAAGCCTGTCTTTCCTTCTGGCTCATAGAGTCTGAGACTGAAATTTGCTGAAGAAAAACAGATGAATTCTGGATGGAGCTGATGAGGCCAAGGGCTGTGCTGTGCGGGCCATATCCTGCTCATGGGGTTCCCCTCCCATGTGGCACATTCCGGGGCTTCCCTGGGAAAAAAGACACAGCTCATCTGCAGCACATCTGAGGGGTGACCAGAGTGGACAGCGTGAGGGCAACAAACTGGTGAGGGCTGATTACCCGGAGAACGCAAGGTTCTCTGCAGGGACCTTTAGGGCAGGGTAGAATAGCATGGATAACAAAGGCTTTAGAGTGATAAACAGCCCAAACTAGTCGCTTCACTGCTCTCAGGCAAAGGGGTAATCCTAGAATTTTCTAATTCCGTATTTGAAAGCTTTCTGGGACAGACGTGTTTTGCAATTTAGAATTCTTCAGATTTAGAAAGGGAGTGTAGTGCCCTCATATAAGAGACAGAGACATGGGCAAGACTGACCGACCGGCGAGGAGGAGACAGAGATGCAGGGGTACAGGGGCATATCTCCAGGGAAATTCATTCAGAGCAGTGCCCTATAAACGGGCCTATCGGTGTCCCTGCAGTTAAATATACACGTGTGAATAGTCACACTAAAATAAACACAAATACAGTTGTGATGGTTAGGTCAGGTGTTGGGCCAAAGTTATGAAAACACTTGTTCAGAGATTTTTTTCTTTTAATTTTTATATTTTGGAATGGTAGATAAGGGGTAATGGGCTTATAATGGTTCTCAGGTTATTGTGATGAGTAAGAGAGTGCTGGTAAAGCCTTTTAAACATATCACATGGTAGATATGTATGCAATCTCAATCCAAAACAAAATATAAATGTCCAAGGGGGTGAATTTTTGGGTTGAAGGAAGAAAGTTCTTACAATGAATAATGCAAAGCTTTGGAATCAGCTGCTTTGGGGCGTTGTGCACAACCAGGGGGGAACGTGCCTTAGAATAGAGGCTTCCTGTGCCCGGGGGGGAGACAGAATTCTTGCTTATGAACACTGCATATGATTTCCCTTCTCACAGACCAGAGGGGAAAGGCAAAAAATGTTGTGCATATATGTATGTGTGATGCTGCACTGTCACACTACATTTCTTTATAATGTTATAATAAATATCTTACTGTATACATCTTTGTTCACATTTTTAATTATTTTGTCAGGATAGATTTATTGAAGAGGAACCCCTAGAAAGATATGGATAACTTAAAGACCTGTGTCCCATTAGGATTAGAATTTTGTCATAGTAATCCACAAAATCATTGTCTGGAGGGCTTTTTAACTCATAACTTCATGAGAGAATGAGCTCACACTTGGGTTGAGGACAAGTGTAGATTTCTTCCTTGTCCGCTTGGTTTCAGGGTGACAACACCTTTGAACATTTTACAGAACTTCTGGGCTATTTCTTCAGTTCCTTGTTAATGAGGACCTGGTGAGACCCCATGTGGCCCTAGAGAAGGCATCACATGCTTTTTCAGACCTGTGGCCTCCTGTCTGGTATCCCATGGTGCGTGGTCCAGCTATCTGTGCTCAGTGGTCAGTGTTGCTCCTGGCTTCAAGTCTTCATGGCTAACTCCAATACCTGTGGTTATGATAGTTTTCCTGGAGAGCTTGTATCTGCTTGTGTAGCCTGCAGCTTTCTCTGACCTGGTAGCAGTGACTCCCTGCCTTATGTCTGAGATTGTGCTCATTGTGGCCTCCGTGCTGGTGTGAAAGATCTTTTGTGCAATGTCCCTCCCAGTGAGGAATGGAAAGTGAATCCCCTGTTGGGAAATACCATGACACTTCCTGTTAATATCTCTATTCTCTGGCAGCCACAACCGCAGCTGTGTGAGATCTTCCTATTTCATTATATTACACCAAAATCATGTAATTCTGGTGGTGTTGGCCAAGACAGATGGAGTTGCTGATAAGGATTTTATTTAGGAATTCTGCATTATTCTTGGCTGAGGATGCCCAAAAGGGCAGGTTGATAAGAGACCATAGTGACTCTGGACCTCAGGCAAGCAGGTGACATGGTTACAATGATTTTCTGGGATATCAAAATTTATATCAGTTGGACCCCTGACTCCTGAAGCTGTAAGCCCAGAGAGAGAACGTCTAGCCATTTATTCTTAAGACTTTGGCAGGGGAGTGAGGGGTGGGAGAGATAGTGATTATACATGAGACCAAGAGGATTCTCTGAACTGGGAATGTCTTAACGATCAGTGTCCTGGCCACACTGGGACCCCAGGACACATTATCCAGAGTCTCAGAAGGTGGAGGATAAGCCTGTATGACTCCTTTCCTAAGGACAGGCTGAAACAGAATCTGGCTCCAGGAATAGAGAGGACTGTGATCCCAGACAAGTGCCTTAATACTTGTCACTCTTCCTAGACCCCCAGGCTCAGGATCTACAGAGGAGCTTTTGCGAGGCAACATGGGCAGACTTAGGTTTAAGTGATGGGGAGAGGTGAGGAGGGCAGTTTTAAATTAAATGTTGTGTACTATGGTCATGGTAACACGTAGCCCCCTGCCTCCTGCCTCCTCCCGAGGATATACAGCTAGGCAGGGGCTTCATAGCAAAAGTCTGTCGAGTGATGATCACAGTCATATCCAGATAATGGGACAAATACGACATAATCCATACCTCCAGACCCCAGATTCTCCTCTGAATGTCTCTCCATCTTCACCTCCAGACTCCATTGTTTTCACTGCCCATTAGAACTGGCCTTTTCTGAATGTGAAGGTTTCCAGGAGCCGGTCCCTGATCTGCTTGGTGCGGGCCCCATAGATGAGTGGGTTGAGGGCAGGTGGCAACAGCAAATAGATGTTAGAGAGGAGGATGTGCACGGGCTTTGGGACAGTGTGACGACCGAAGCGGTGTGTGAGGTAGGAAAAGAGACCAGGCACATAGAAGGCCAGAATGACACAGATGTGGGAACT